AATGACCTGTGCTCAGACTGGGACATTCTCCTGTCTGGAATCATCTGGCATCTGTGCCATATCCATTTGAATGGCAGATGCAACAGGAGACACCTGTGGACAGAGGGGCAGAGCTAAGGTTTCAGGAACAGTCACAGGCAAGGGATGGAAAGGCTGCAGCAATAATGCATGAGCTGCACCTGCCTCCCCTGGGCCCTGCAGCACTGCTCCACTTCCCTCTGAGCTGGGAGAACCAGTACAGCACTGGGAAACTGGGAACAGCAGGTTATGGTGTGCTGGGAGAGAAGCAGATCTGAGGGGGTTGAGTCTCAAAGTATTGCAGAGCTCCCCAGGTTCCAGCTCTGGAAATTGCTGTTGAGCCCCCTCAGAGGCTGATCACAAAATTTGCATTATCCTTAAGAGGGTCACAAAATCAAATAATTGTAAAGAAATTAAGGAGCTTCTCAGGGCATTGCTGGGCACAGGGAAGCAACAGGATGGCACTTATCTGTCCCTGCAAACAAAGCCCTGACTAAAGCAAGAAGGAAATGCAGAGCTGGAGCCATGGACAGACAAGCATTTACTTCCCTGCCCTGGGATAGAGGGAGATGTGCTTGGAAGAAGGGTTGTTTGTATAAATAAATGTTCATTCTTGGCAGTGGAATGCAAACTATGCTGAGGGGCTGGAACCAGGCACTCGGGAAAGCTGAGGCCAGAGCAAGGGAGAGACGGAGTGAGGCTGCAGGGAGGAAATTCACATTCATTTTTAGCAACTTGGAGAGGCTCTCAAGCCTGTTTGACATTTTTAATTATGCTGATGCAGAGCCTATTTCAAGGACAAAAAAAAAAAAAAAAAAGTCAGGATTGCAGGTTAAACAATTAGGAAATTTCACACCAGACAGCGAGGAGCAGGGCTGCCTGGGGGTCTGGAGACTCTCTCAAACACGGGATCATCTTTCAGCCTTTCTAGACAGACGGAATTTGAATGTCTTGCAGAATCCTCGCCCAGGTCAGGAACTCAGAGCATGGCCCTGTAAACCTCTCCTGATGGTATTTTCTGAGAGCACACACAGGAGGCAGGAAAGATGAGCCTGAGCTGCTGGTTTCTGAAAGTCCTGCAAGGTTTCTGAAGGGCAGAAAATCATCCTGGCAATGTGGCATCAACTGTGTCAGAATCTGTAACTTTACAGTGGGAAACACTGCAAATTGTGGGGCAGAGTGAGCTCAGCTCGATGGTTTCACATCACTAAGTCAGGGCTTGCTTTCCATGCTCAGAAAATGACCTTTTGTCATGCAACCATCCTGACCTCAGGGTCTCACTTTCCCTGTGTATCGTGGAAAAGACTTTACCTGCTTGCTCACCCACTATCCTCTCTGAAAAATGTAAAAATGTGTAAGGACCTGTCCCTGCATTTGAGTTTGGGCATCAGCTGTGGCACTGAAGGGCAGGAGTTGCCTCTTTCAGTCCCCCTGCTCCGAGTCCTGTACTGGGGACAGAGGAATGGAATTGGAACCTTCACCTTCTCTTTGAGATAATGGAAAGTCACAGGGAGGTATCCAGCTTTGGGCATGAATAAATCATTGCAGGTATGAATTATTCAGGGCTCAGCCCTCCACATGTGCTCCATTCACACTCCAGGGCAGCATCCCTGCTGTGTTGGGGGTTTGCTCCCCAACATTCCAGGTCTAAGGCAAGCTGATGAGTCCAAGTTTTCCAATAAGATTAAAAGAATAATTAAAAATCCAGCAGTTAAAAGCTGCTCAAAAGTGCTGTGACACCTGAGGCTGACATTCCAATGGCCAGGCAATGTCTGAGCTCCAAGAGCTGTGCACAAGTTTGTCACAGGATGGGATGGGAATAAGAAGTAGCTCAGGAAATTGGGAGCACAGGTTGGAGGGAAGAAGTGGAATGATGGGCACAGAATCAATACAGGAACCAACCCAGCCTTCTGTGTTTGTGTCTAACACAACTCAGGGGATAAATCAAAATTTCTGGCTTCGATCTGTGTTGTGAGACCAAGGGCTTTGCCTTGTGGTGCTTTTTAAAAATCTTGTTTATTATGAGTTGAAATGGGTTGAATGAAGAGAAAATCTGGTTTGCACTAACTGGAAGGATGGCACTGTTAAAATGATGAATTTAATGTCAGAGTCCAAATCACAAATCCAGGGGCCCAGGAGAGCAGGGGCTGCCATGAGCCCCAGGTGCTGCCAGGTGATTTCTGGGGAAGAGAAGGGGTTATAATCAGACCATAGATTAATCAAACCACAGATTAATCAAACCATAGCCTAATCTCCAGCACTCCAACCCCAACTAGGAGAGGAAAAAACTGCTGTGCTGAACAGCCAGGAAATGGCTGCTCTGTCCCGCACAGGAAATGAGTCAGCCCGGGAGGAGCCATGGGGACAGGGAAGTGCTGAAATAACATGGAGAAATACAGAAAAGCCTCTTGAAGAAATACAGAAAAGCCTCTTGTGTCGTGGATTAAAAAGAAGGAAAGATGTAAAATGTGAGCTCTTGTGATTCTGCTTCAAATTTGAAGTTCATGTAGGTGCTTGCAGCATGAAACACCCATAGCTTGGAAGGGGCACTCAGGGTGTGAAATGACAACACAAACCATGCCCAGGTGCAGCTCTCCTGCCCTGCACAGTGTTTCTCACCTGCTCAGCTCTGGCCCTGCACAGGAGGCCTCACGTTGCTGTAGTGGCAGAGCTGTCACAGACAGCCTGCTCAGGGAGCCCATACACAGGTCAGGAATCACAGAGTCAATCCGACCCTTGTAAAAAAATCACTCTCCAAAAACACTTTTTATTACTGACAGTGCATTAAGCTCAATTCCAAACCCATTTATTTAGCAGCTAGCAGTCAGGACACTCTTTGATAGTACTCCATGCTGCCAAACTCTCGTGGATCAATGGAAGAAACACTCCCCTCATTCAGGTCGTGTCTTGCTCAGAAAGCCACGTGTGTGCAGGTAGGAGCTGCACCTCTCCCAGATGCTGGAAATAACACAAAGCAGACCAGCAGACAAATTTCCAGCTCTCCCACCCCTCCTCCTCCAAGCACCCCAGCTGCAGAGGGGACTTTGGGTCCCTCTCCTGGTCCCTTCTCTCAGGCTGTGGTGGTTTCTGCTCCCTGGCAAACCCTGCAGGGATTGTGCTCCTGCTCAGATTCCTCTCCTGATTCCTCTCCTGCCCCGCCCTAACCATTCCCAGAGCGGTGATGTGGCACCATGAACGATGCACTGAAGAATGTTCTGGCACCAGGAGATGCAGCTGAAGCTGCCAATACGCTTTGAAATAAAACCGCCGTGCTCGCTGAGAGGGGTTGGAAATAAATAAAAGCCACAGAGAGAAGCAGAAGGATTGGAGACACCCCCTGCTCCCTGGGTTTTTGGGGATTCAGTGGTAGCAGTTATCTGTGAGAGTTCTCTGGTTTAGGGCCTTGCAGGGAATAATGAGGCAGGAGTGGAACTTCCAGGAAAACAACTGATGGCAGCAGGATCCAGTGTGCCACAGGAGTTGGGGTTCATTCCCATTTAGGAGGGTGCTGGTTTTCAGACCCTGGCAAATTTATTCAGTGTGCCCCAGGGTTTGGGGTTCATGAACTGCACTCCTTTTCAGGAGGATTCTGGTTTTCAGACCCTGGCAGACTTATCCAGTGTGCCCTGGAGTTGGGGTTCATGAACTGGACCCCATTTAGGAGGGATCTGGTTTTCAAACCTGGCAGACTTATCCAGTGTGCCCTGGAGTTGGGGTTCATGAACTGGACCCCATTTAGGAGGGATCTGGTTTTCAAACCTGGCAGACTTATCCAGTGTGCCCTGGAGTTGGGGTTCATGAACTGGACCCCATTTAGGAGGGATCTGGTTTTCAAACCTGGCAGAAGTACCCAGTGTGCTCTGGGGTTTGGGTTCATGAACTGGACCCTGTTTAGGACTATTCTGGTTTTCAAACTACTAATGGAAGTATCCAGTGAACCCCAGGGTTTGGGTTCATGAATTGGACCCCTTTTCAGGAGGATTCCGGTTTTTAGACCCTGGCAGACTTATCCAGTGTGCCCTGGAGTTGGGGTTCATGAACTGCACCCCTGTTTAGGAGAGTTCTGGTATTCAGACCTTGGCAGTCTTATCTAGTCTGCCCTGGGGTTTGGGGTTCATGAACTGCACCCCATTTAGGAGGGTTCTGCTTTTCAGACCCTTAAAGACCTATCAAAGTGTGCCCCAAGGTCTGGGTTCATGAACTGCACCCCTTTTTAGGAGGATTCCAGTTTTTAGACACTGGCAGACTTATCCAGTGCACCCCAGGGTCTGGGTTCATGAACTGCACCCATTTAGCAGAGTTCTGGTTTTCAAACCACTGGCAGAAATGTTGGGTGGAAGAGGAAGGAGAAGGGGAAGGGTTTTACCAGTTTGTGAAGGACAGGGCTGCAAAAAGAAGTGTCCATGACCCCACACGGGCTGGGGAGCTATGTAACAACACGAAAGGAACAGGCAGGAAAGGGTCCTGTTTGTTTCAGAGAGTTTTTCTTCCCTGCTGGTGAATTAAATGCCAAGAGATAACACATGCAGGAAGGGCTCAAAGAGGGAATAAGCTGGGTGTGCCCCAGAGCCCTTCCCGGCCAGAGGAACCAGAGCCAGAACCAGGGTGGGACGTGGGACTCTGCTGGAGGATCACACAAAAGAAGCTGATACATTTTTTTTCCCTTTACCCTCCTATTTCTTTTTTTATTTTTTTTTAATATAGTCATTTTCAACTGGGTTTGTTTTTCAAAACAAACACAAGGACACACAGGGGCTGGTCCTGCTCCCTGCTGTGTTTTCATATCAAGTGTAATCTTGTTCTTAAAAGCATTTTCCCCTTTGGCCCAGAGAAAAGCACAACAGTCCCTTGTAGTCCCACAGTACCTGAGCAGATGCTGTCTAAAAAATTCTCTTCCTATTGCAGGAAAACGGCTGATAAAACGTTGCACAATCATCATATCTGCAAGGACTGTGGAAAATCAGGGTGAGCTTGCACAAAGAGCCTTTCAAGTCAGACCAAACCTGCAGAGGGAAGGCCTTTGGAAAATCAGGAATCCTGTGGTGGAATTTACCTGTTTACTCTGCCAAAGATACCTGAAAAGCACCTGGAAGACCTGCACATGCCATAAACTCATTTCACCAGAAAATCAGTCCCTGGCCTGTGATCAGTGATGAGTGTTAATGGATGTTTTCAGTCTTTGTGGGGTGTTCAGGGTACAGAAATACCACACACTGGAAACAAAAAAAAAGGATTCTACCTCCACAGCATCCTCTACTACCAAAATTCCTTACTGGTGGAAGAAACACCTCCATGGGAAACACACCTTAAACCAGTCCAAGAGAGCTGGTGTTGGCAGCTAAATTCCTTCCCTCTTTGATCACTTTATCTCTCTGGCTCTCAGCTACAGTGGATCTATAATCTCATCATTTTCCCATTCTTTGCCTCATCGAAGTTGTAAATCTCTTATCTGAGGCAGCAGCTGAGCCTTTCATATGCAGGAGCCAGTGGTTTCACATGGGTTTAGCTGCCTCCAGCAACAGGTCAGAACACATTTTTCCTCGGTTTTAAACTCCATAGGGGCCAAACTGGAAGCCCAGTAACCCAAAGATTCGGGAATCAGAGTTCCCAGCTCCTGCAAAGATCCAAGGCCAAGGGAAGCTCCTGCATTTCACAGAAGGTGATGAGAGTGAAGCAGCCAGGAGATGTCTGATCCTGGCCCCTGAAACCCCTGAGCACTGCCCCAGTGAGAAATGAGGACCTGGCACAGCAACACGTGTTTGGGAGAAAACAGACCACTCCATTTCTAAATTCTTCTCTTCCCTCCTCACGTGTCAAGTGTGAGCTTGAGAGAGACGCGAGAAGGCAAAATGCAAGTCTGTGCCTGCCTGACACAAAGCAGAAACACTGCCCAGGCATTTCATCTGCACTCTGGTTTTCAAAATCATTTTCTGAGCCCTCACATACACAGCCGTGTCACAGCCCAGGTGTTGGTGTTCTACAGGTTATCACTGGCAGAAGAACTTGGACAAAACTACCAAATATATTCACAGAAAAGCCCTGGGTGGGAAGGCTGGCAGGACAGAGGAGCCTGGCTGAGGGCAGAATTAGAAATTAGCTATAAACTGACCAATTAATCCCGGTGGGCTATGGCAAATGAGGCTCACAGAATGGGCAACTAGAATTCCCAGGGAGCAAATTCTGCGTTTAAACAGAGTGTTTAATCCATGGAGCAGCGCTGGGGAGGATCCGAGGGTGCCTGGTCACCCTGCGGGAGCCACAGAAGGATCTCACACAAAGCCACAACATTCTTTTGAAATTCATCACAAGTGGCCCAGCACTTGTAAAACAAATCTTCCAGAGGCTTGACAAGCCCCAAATCCCTGAAATACACAAGAATTCCTGCACAAGTGAGGCCTACAGGCAACGACCGATATTAAGAGTGAGCCAAGTCGATCTAATTCTGCACTGAACTGTCCCTGATGTGCCACAGAGCTGGGCTGGGCACCAAAACCTCACAACGGTACCTGAGCCCCACACCGGCAGGTACGTTTAACGTCTTACCTCACAAGCTCTCTCTCTCTCTGACCCTCTGGTAATCTTTATCCTTAAGATATTAACTGCGATCACACACTCTCCTGTACTTTAAGCCAGCCCTGAGCGACCCCCGAGGGGCACACGGCGGGCGGGCACCCCTCCAGCCGGGATGGCGGCGGCGCGTGGCTTCCCTGCCCGCCCCCAACATGGCGGCGGCGCCGCCGGTGCTCGCAACGTGCACGAGGGGGACCCGCTTGCCCGTACCCAAGATGGCGCCCAGCGCCGTGCCTCGCATGCCCTGCCCCCAATCAAGATGGCGGCCCCGGGCGTCATCCCGGCCTCCTTCCCGCTCTGAACATGGCTCCTCCCCGCCGCCTCCCTCCGCCTACCGAATGGCGCCGCGCACCGGTGAATGGCCCCGCCCCTTGCGCCGAGCGCGGCCAATCGGCTTCGCGCGGGGAGCCAGGGCGCCAACCCCAGGAGGCGGGAGGTCCCGCCCCCTCATCAGGGTGACAGCTCGGCTGACCAATGGAGCGCCGGCGCGGGCGAGGCGGGCCGGGCGGCGCCGCCATTTTGTGAGTCTATAACACGGAGCGGTCTCGCTCGTCCCGCTATTGCGGCGCCTCCACTCCGCTCCCGACGGGTCGTCTGCGTGTGCAATGGACGGGTGAGTCCCGCCCGGCGCCGCGCCGGGGCCGTGAGCAGCGCTGCCGGGCCCCTCCCGTGCTGTGGGAGCGCCCGGGTTGAGCACCCGCGCCGGGAGCTGTGGGGAGATACCTGTGGGGGGCCCACGGGCGCGGCCGGGGCGGGAGGGCGGGGGGGGTCTCGTGTGGCGGTCGGACCCCTCCCCACGGGCGGCGGCGGGGGAAGCGGGGGCGGGCCCGGTGCGCCGCCTCGTGCGAGCCTACCCCGCGTGCTCTCCCACCGCCCCGCGGGTCCCGGCCGCGGCGAGCTCGGGGGTCCCGCCCGGAGGGGCTCCGGGGGTCCCGACTGAGGGGAGCTGTGGGGCCGCCGCTTTGGGCGGCTCAGCGTGACCCGCCGGGGCCGGGCGGGGGGCGGCGGTGCGGGAGCGCCGCGGGGGCGGGTGGGGGGCCCGGGCGCGGCCCCGCGGGGGCGGAGCGGGCGGGGCGGGCGCACCTGGCGGGGCGGCGGGCGGTGATTCACGGCCGCGCTCCCTCCCATTGTCTGGCGCTTCCGCGGGCGGGGGGGCTCTCGCTGGGTTCCTTTTGTGACCGGTTCTCGCTCGCCCAAGTTTCGCAGGGGGGGAGGAGGAGGAGGAGGGCGGGCAGGGCTCTCTCGCCGCCTCACCTGAGTGCCGCAGGTACGGCCGCGGGCCCGGCCCCGCTCCCGTTGTCCCGCGCAACTCCCGGAGAGAAAACTTCCCTCCGCACGCTGGGACTCGGGGAGTTTCCAGAGCTCAACTTTTATCTCGGGCAGCGTCGATTCCTCTTTAACCACCGCCCGGCGGGGCCTCTTTGCGGCACAGTTCGCTCTAAAGCGCGTGGTTTATCAGGGGATCTCTCTCGAAAACGAGCTCTCCGTGCTTCTTTTCTCCTGTCTGACGTGGGGGATTTTTTTTTAGTGATGTGGTTTTTTGTTTCTTCTAGCGAGCAGTAGTTAAAATATTTCTAAAGGCCTCCGAGTAAGCAGTTTGTTTTCCCCGAGCCGTAAGTACGGGAAGCCCAAATTGGTGCCTTCTCGCTTTCTGCCTCAGAACACTGGTCTGGGCGTAGTCACATGTCTGGGCTTTTTTTACACGTTGAAAAGGTGGCGTCTGAGTGTTATTTTCATCTTAAAACCCTTAAAAGTACTGTATCTTAACAATTTTTGCAGTCCAGGATCGCTCTGCTGCTTTTAACCAGTTGCTCATCGGGTTGAATGATACTATTAAAAAAAAAAAAAAACCAACAAACCAAACAGATTCTCAGCACATGAGATCACACATTCTAGTGGTAAAAATCGGTTTGTTATCAGCTGTAGTTTCAGGGAAGGCGGATGTTTTGTGCGTGTTAAAGTAGTTGCTGTTTGAATGTAGAAGTTGTAGTGTAACATACGAGACTCGGTTACCCCTGATCTTTTGGTGATCCCGGTGCAGGATCCGTTTGCACTGTAAAAGTGTCTCCTACTGAAACTTCAAAAGCTGCTTCGGAAAATAGTTTTAGATTCTTGCCGAGCTGGCAGCAAGTGGCCTCTGGCTCAAGGCTGCTCCCATCTCCTCCCAAAAATGATCCCGAGCTGTGCCCGAGTGATCCCCTTTGAATAAGTTGCTTTGTTAAAACATGCGAGGAGCCCTTATGGGCAATCCTGCTTTGGAAAATGACCTGGAGGTTTTACTGGTGCTGCTTATTTTTTCCTCTTATTGCATAGGAATTATCCCATTTTTCCACGGGAAAAATAATTTTTAGGAAGGGCTTTATTGCCTCTTGTTGTGAAGCTGGGAAGAGTTTTGATCTCCTCCTGTGCAGGACAGGAGAAGGAAGCTTGGGATAATTTACTGAGGGGGTGTGTGAACTGGAAATACTTTGCACGTTTCTGTAATAAAAATTCTGAAATACTCTTGAAGCTTGTTTCCTGTGAAATGTGTTATCAAGTGAGTTACAACGATATCCCAGGAATCGATAGTTCTTTGGCAAATAAAATGACTTTTCCTGTTGCATACTTCTAAATGCCACTTTATGTAAAACATTTCCTGTGTGAGAGGCCCACAGGAGGAACAGGAAGTGGGAGAAACTGCTCTGGGGTAAGTTGGGGAGTTTGGGAAACGTGGGGGCATTGTTGGCAGTAGTTTTTTGGTTTTTTTGAAGGTTCTGGAAATGCCTGGATTAGTGTTTATGTGCTAGCTGAGGAATGTGTGCTGTGTTTAGGGATGCTGGTTCCTTGCAGTGCTCCGTGCAGATGGGTTTCATTAGTTTATTAGGGCTGACCCTCGAGTGCAGCCAGCCCATCCCAGGCCTGCCCTGGAAAATCAGGAACTATCGCGTGGCTCCAGCTGCAGGGCTGGGTTGTGATGACACGGCACGTTGGGGGAAGAGGAAGTGTGAGGAGCTGAGCTGGCTCCTGCTGGTTCGTTTGTAAAGCTGGGGACACTCAAACGGCCTAACAGGACTTTGCTGCAGGAGGAGAGGCAACAAAAACTAGTAAACGCAACTTTTCTCGTGTTAATTCACAATGTAGAGTTTTTCTTGAGTGCTTCAGGTTTCTTATTGTTGGTTCAAGGATTGCCCTGCCTGCTGTGTGTCAGCCTGCTCTGTGGAGCTGCTGCAGGTCAGTCAGCTGGGCACTGCTGCATCCTGTGCTCTGGAATGGCAGGCAGCTCTTTGAGAGGAGTGCAGCCAGGCAGGGCTGTGTCAGATGGCTCCTTTCTGCTATACATTTTGTGTTGCTGCTTGACAGGGCGTTGGAATTTATTACAAAAATATATAATCACCAGTGCAGAGGATAACTAAATTTTTAGGCTGTCTGGAGCACTCCCATGAAACAATCACATGGAGATGCTCTGGAAGATCACCCAGGTCCAACGTGCCAGGCTGTAGGCAAACCATTCTGACTGCATTGTGCACATTGCTAAGGAGGTGTGTGGTGTGCTACAGAGTGTTCAGTATTCAAGGGATCTGGTGTGGTGCTCTTTTTCATCTTAGTTAATCAGAAAATCTTCATTTTAGGAGGCTTCAGTGTCCAAAGTGGAGTTTAATAACTGGTTTTTGGTAGAACTGATAGAGGAATCCTATGTGAGATGTACCCCAGGCTGGGATTGCCTGGACCTCTGGGCACTCTGCTGGTGCCCTGCTGTGGCATGGGGGCTGCTGTGAGCCCTGGCTCCTTCTCTGCTGGGACACAGCTCTGTCCCTGGGACCAGCAGAGCTCTGCTGTTGGTCTCAGCTGTGTCAGAGCCTGCTTGGTGCTCTGTGGGTGTTGGGGACAGGAACCTCAGAAGGGGATGTTGGTGACAGAACTGACTCGTGATGTTTTCCTCTCGGTGTGCTCAGAGTTGAGGTCACATTGCTGGGCTGGGGGGGTTCACCCCCACCCCTGCCCTTGCTGCCCTAGGGAGTGGGAGAGCTGCAGTTTTCTGCCACTGCTGGGTCTTGGGTCTCCACCATCACCATCTAATAATTTTTCCTTGTATAAACTGTCCTTGGCTCACCTGCAAAGACAACTGTGCACTTTGACTTGCTTTTTTCTTACTACTGTAAACTATGCTGGATTTTTGTGGCAAACCTATCTAACTTTTTTAATCCTTTTCTTTCTTTTTTCTACAGCATTGTCCAAGATATAACAGTTGGTACAAAGGTAGGCACTTCTCACTTTTTCTCTCTTTTTACACTGCTCAGCATCTGACCTAGTTTTAGCCTCACCAAATGTAGATCTTCAGCTGTAAAGGGTTATTTCTGGTACCACATAAATGGGTTTTAACCAGAAGGTAATTCAGTTTCATGTGCATTTAAAACTTATGCTATGGCTCAGCATTTAGCTCTTGTCATTTAGGCATGGATGATCAACTTTATTGCACTTAGAAACAGCCCTTTCCCATGCTAAAATGTCAAGCCATGCTTGTTACTTGTGTGCTAGACAATGCTTCTCCATGAAGAAACTGGTCCTTTTCCTTTGGAGAACTCCATTTCCTTTGTTTGTGTGAATTCCTGCTCAGTTATATGTCAAAAATCCTTCTGCCACAAAAGGGAGGGTTTAGCAGCTGATTTTTATCTCTTGTGGGTACAGTAAACATGACCTTTGCCCTTGTGTAGTGTGAGGTTTGGAAAGGGCAGCCTTAGCCCTAAACTCAAAGTGCTGACAGGAGGCTCCTTATCAGCCACGGGTGGCAACAGACATCACCTTCAGGGGATCAGCACTGGTGCTGTGAAACACCAGGCTGGGAATGTGCAAGGCCAGAATGGGCTGAAGGGTTAGAGTTTGGTTTGGTTTGTATGTTGTAACTCTGGGGTCAGGACTGCAGTGAACCCTCTGTGTGTTTTGGTGTGTGTTGGGTATTGGCAGTGCAGCTGAGTGGCTCATGGGGAGGCAGTGACCAAGAACTGCCAGAGTGGCCACTCAAAAGGGCCAGGGAAATGATGCTGTGGGATGGGACTGATGTGGAGCAGAGCTGGTGCACTGGGAGCACCTGCAGAATTAGGTAGGAGCATCGCACAAAGTGCTGTTGGCCAGCAGAGCTTTGTGTTGGAAAAGCG